TAGCATCATAGTCAAGCGCAAAGATATCTACCCTCTGTCCATGCAGCTCCAGCCAGGTGGGGAGCTCAGCCTCGTCGCCAAACACTGTGCGCCAGTCGTCGCTCAGACGGGCGAAGCAGCGGGACTGTGTGTGACCAAGCGTCCCACAAGGCTGACCAGTCCTAGCACCTGTGCGAATGACGTACGGGCAGCGAACTGTACGCGTAGACCTGCTACTCTGAACGTACCACTCCTGGAGCTGCCGGGGCGTAAGTGTCTCGCGTGGACGCCCCTGCAGCTGCAGCTGGCCACTGCTAGACGCTCCCAACTGACCAGCTCCAGGGCGACAGCTACGACGGCTACCGCGACAACCCCAGCTAGTATACCACTCACTAAGCTGCTGGGGCGTGAGAGGCTCGCGGGAACGTCGCTGGAGCTGCATCTGGCCACCTGCCAGTAGCAGTAGCAGCAGCAGTAGCGCGGGCAGGGCAGGCGCGGCAGGCAGGCAGGCAAGCAGGCAGGCAGGCAGGTAGGCAGGCAGCCAGGCAGGCAGGCAGGCAGGCAGGCAGGCAGGCAGACAGGCAGGCAGGCAGGCAGGCAGGCAGACAGACAGGCAGGCCGGCAGGCAGGCAGGTAGGCAGGCAGGCCGGCAGGCAGGCAGGCAGGCGCGCAGGCAGGCAGGCAGGCAGGCCGGCAGGCAGGCAGGCAGCCAGGCAGGCAGGCAGGCAGGCAGACAGGCAGGCCGTCAGGCAGGCAGGCAGGCGCTCACCAAAGGCTGGGAGAGCAGGCGCTCACCGGGCGAGCAGGGCCGGCGCTCGACGGGCGGCGGCCGAGTAGGCGCACGACAGCGGCGACGTCGGGGCCGCAACACCGGCTGCAGAGCAGGGCCGAAGCAGCTGCAGGGCGGGGCCGCTTCAGCGGCAGTAGCAGGGTGGGGCCGCGTCAGCGGCAGGTCGGGGCCGTGGCAGCTGCAGGGCGGGGCCGCATCAGCGGCAGGTCGGGGCCGTGGCAGCTGCAGGGCGAGGCCGCATCAGCGGCAGGTCGGGGCCGAGGCAGAGGGCCGCGCGCGGCTCGGCGCGGGCTGCGCTGACAGCGCGCTGAGCTGCTGCAGGCCGCGCGCGGCCGCGCTAGGCAGTAGCGGGCCGCGCGCGGCTCGGCGCGGGCTGTTGCGGGCCGCGCGAGGCAGTAGCAGGCCGCGCGCGGCTCGGCGCGGGCTGCTGCGGGCCGCGCGCGGGCCTCGCGAGGCCGTAGCAGGCCGCGCGCGGCTCGACGCGGGCTGCGTGGGCTCGGCGCGGGCTGCGCGCGGCAGCTGCGGGCTGCGCGCGGCTCGGTGCGGGCTGCGCGCGGCTGCAGCGGGCTGCGCGCGGCTCGGTGCGGGCTGCGCGCGGCTGCAGCGGGCTGCGCGCGGCTCGGCGCGGGCTGCGTGGGCTCGGTGCGGGCTGCGCGCGGCTCGGTGCGGGTAGCGCGCGGCAGCAGCGTGCTTAGCGGTCTGCAGGGGCTGTTTGCGGGCCTTACGGGCCTTGCGGGCCTGACGGGCGTGTAGGGGCGGCGCGCGGGCCTTACGGGCCTCTAGGGGCAGCGCGCTGGCCTAGGGCAGCAGGAGGCAGCGCTAGGGCTGCTGGACGGCGCGCATAGTGCAGCACGTCACAAGGCAAGGCAAGGCAGGCAGGTACGTGGGGTAGCGCGGTAACCGCAGCGGTAGGTGGGCCCGAAAAAAAACGGTCCTACGGACCTTAGTGCTCTGAAACCATGTTAGAATCTAGCAGCAGGAATGATTGAACTAGCAGCATGCAGGAGTACAAGTAGTAAACCCTAATTTGGGTTGTACCCCATATGGGCTACCCCACTACAGCCTAGACAATATGCAGCATATGTTTCACAACTCTGACTGACAGAGTCTAGATGAGGGTGCACTCTGACCCATCAGAGTGTCCCAAACCGAATCTAGGGCCCTGCACATCAATAACACCAACACTTTCATTCTTGACATGGTATCACTTAGGGCCCGCTCGTTAGGCCCTCCCTTTGCACCGCTGCGCCTACTTGTTCAGTCCACCACGGAACCGCCCCTTGCGCCCGTCGCGCCTGCGTTTTGCGCCCGTCATGGACTTGCCCTAGCCGCCCACCGTTCCTACCAGTGCCGCCCGCCGCCGGACTTGTCGCTTCTGCTTACGCTATGGCGACCCCTAGGGTTCTTCGCTTTGACGCTGACGGTAGACCGCTCGAGTTTCCGGTTTGGCTCCTACGCGCGCGTCGCCTTTTAGAGAGTCAGGTTCAGGCGGGCGAGTCCCTTTGGGCGCACTCTACTGGTGACCTTCCAGCACCCGACTGTCAAATTATATGTGTAACATTTATGTAGGCTATAGTACTGGGTCTAGCCTTAGGGGGTACACATACTTTCTCGACACCCTCTTGTACCACCTTTCCTTGACCTAATGACCATTCCCTTAATCTCAACATGGTATAGAGCAGGTTCTTCCTAAGGACCGGTTTTTTTTTTTAAGGGCCCACCACACCACTTTTTTTAGCTGCCCGAAGCGCCTTTGCGCCCTGCCCGTCAAATTTCGGCCCCTTTTGGCCTTACCCCGCCCCTTCGCGGCCCCTTGAACAGCCCCTCGCGGCCCCTTAAACGGCCCCTTCGCGGCCCCTTAAACGGCCCCTTAACGGCCCCCTTGCTGCCCCTTAGCGCCCCCCCCCCCTTAGCGACCCCGTCGCGGCCCCGTCGCGACCCCCTCGCGGCCCCGTCGCGGCCCCGTCGCGACCCCGTCGCGACCCCTTCGCGGCCCCGTCGCGACCCCGTCGCGACCCCGTCGCGGCCCCGACCCCTTCGCGACCCCGTCGCGACCTCGGCGCGGACCCTTCGCGACCCCGTCGCGGCTCCTCCGCGGCCTCGTCGCGGCCCCCCTTCGCGGCCCTTCGTGGCCCCCTCTTTGCGGCCCCTTCGCGGCCTCCTCACGGCCCCTTGCGGCCCCCCTTCGCGGCCCCCTACAGCAGCCGCCCCTGGCCCCTGGAGCAGCCGCCCCTGGCCCCTGCAGCAGCCGCCCCTGGCCCCTGGAGCAGCCGCCCCTGGCCCCTGCAGCAGCCGCCCCTGCAGCAGCCGCCCCTGGCCCCTGCAGCAGCCGCCCCTGGAGCAGCCGCCCCTGGCCCCTGCAGCAGCCGCCCCTGCAGCAGCCGCCCCTGGCCCCTGCAGCAGCCGCCCCTGGAGCAGCCGCCCCTGCAGCAGCCGCCCCTGGCCCCTGGAGCAGCCGCCCCTGCAGCAGCCGCCCCTGCCCCTGGCCCCTGGAGCAGCCGCCCCTGCAGCAGCCGCCCCTGGCCCCTGGAGCAGCCGCCCCTGCAGCAGCCGCCCCTGGCCCCTGGAGCAGCCGCCCCTGCAGCAGCCGCCCCTGGCCCCTGGAGCAGCCGCCCCTGCAGCAGCCGCCCCTGGCCCCTGCAGCAGCCGCCCCTGGAGCAGCCGCCCCTGCAGCAGCCGCCCCTGGCCCCTGCAGCAGCCGCCCCTGGAGCAGCCGCCCCTGCAGCAGCCGCCCCTGGCCCCTGGAGCAGCCGCCCCTGCCCCTGGAGCAGCCGCCCCTGGAGCAGCTGCCCCTGCAGCAGCCGCCCCTGGCCCCTGGAGCAGCCGCCCCTGGAGCAGCCGCCACCTGCAGCTGCCGCGGAGCCCTCGCCCTACAGTGGTGCCGGCCTCGCCGTTGCCGCCGTTGTACGCCGGCCCTTCTTGCCACTGGTGAGCACTGTCCTGCTACTGCTGTTACTGCTGCTCCTGCTGCTACTGCTCTTTCTACTCCTACTGCTGCTAGTGCTGCTACTGCTGCTCCTGCTGCTACTGCTGCTACTACTGCTCGTGCTGCTCCTACGGCTCCTCCCCTTCCTACTGCTACTGCTGCTCCTGGCGTGGCCAGATGCAGCTCCAGTGCCGTCCACGTGAGTCCCTCCCGCCCCCACAGCTTCATGAGTGGTACGCTCGTTGGGGTTGTCGGGGTGGCCGTAGTGGGAGTCGTTCTGGCGTGAGTAGTTTCGGGGCTTCGTGTAGTAGCCAGGTGCAGCTGCAGCGTCGTGTGCGCGCGGTCCCTTCGCCCCCGCAGCTTCATGAGTGGTACTTTCAGCGGGGGGGGTCACGGGGTTCTGCTCGCTGCCCGTACGTCATTCGCACTGGTGCTCGGACTGGCCAGCCTTGCGGGACGTTTGGTCACACAGAGTCTTGCTGCTTCGCCAGTCTGAGCGACGCCTGGCGTACGGAGTTTGGCGACGCGGCTGAGCTCCCCGACTGGGTGGAGCTGCTCCGGCAGAGGGTAGATATCTATGCTCTTGACTTTGATGCTATCCTCACTGCCATGTATGCATTGTCTACTAGTGATGTCGGTGACTGTTCCCTGAGTGCTCCGCCCGACCCGGGCGGTGCAGCTGCTGCTCTAGGTGCTAGTGAGTCTGCTGCTCCAGGTGCTGGTGAGTCTGCTGCTCCAGGTGCAGGTGAGTATGCTCGGTACCACGTCTGCTCCGGCGTCGCACACTTTCACCCTTGACTCGGGTGCTTCCCGCTCCTTCTTTCGAGACCGCACCACTCTCACGCCGCTCAGTCGGCCGGTTGCGGTCTCCCTGGCAGACCCCTCTGGGGGTCCTGTTCTTGCCCACTACTCCACTGTACTACCATGTCCAGCGGTCCCGTCTGGCTCCCTGTCGGGTCTTTACCTCCCCTCGTTCTCTACGAACTTGGTGGCGGGTGCTGACCTGCAGGATGGGGGGTTGACCAGTTCACCCCTGCGCGTCAGCGGGTGACCCACTGCACGTGTGCAGACACGGGCCGACACTTGGCCACGTTTACCCGTCGGCCGGGGTCGAGCCTGTACACCCTCACTACCGAGTCTCCTCCGGTTGCTGTGCCTGGTCAGGTAGCTGCGTCGGGTCAGGTGTTTGCTGCGGCGTCTCGGTCTGGTCCTGAGTCTGCCCCCTGCTCGTGTCGCCTCCTATCTCACGAGACTCTTCTCTGGCACCACCGTCTTGGTCACCCCTCCCTGCCTCGTCTCCGAGGCATGGCCTCTCGTGTCCTGGTCTCTGGTCTCCCCCGGTCTCTCCCTCCCCTCCCCCCGGGGCCTGCCCCTACCTGCGTTCCCTGCGTCGAGGGGCGGCAGCGCGCCGCTCCTCACTCCTCCGAGTTTCCGCCGACAGAGGCTCCGCTGCAGACTCTTCACATGGACGTGTGGGGCCCAGCCCGCGTCCGTGGACAGGGTCACGAGCGTTACTTCCTGTTGGTGGTTGACGACTACTCGCGTTACACCACAGTCTTCCCCTTGCGCCGCAAGGATGAGGTCACTGAGGTGTTGATCGACTGGATCCGCGCAGCTCGTCTCCAGCTCAGGAAGAGTTTCGGCTCGGACTTTCCTGTTCTGCGTCTGCACTCTGACAGAGGTGGAGAGTTTTCCTCCGGCCCTCTGCGAGCCTTCTGTCGTGCGAGGGGCATCCGCTAGACGTTCACGCTTCCGGCCTCTCCACAGCAAAATGGGATTGCTGAGCGCCGCATTGGCATGGTCATGGATGTCGCTCGCACGTCCATGATCCATGCGGCTGCTCCCCATTTTCTGTGGCCGTTTGCGGTTCAGTACGCGGCGCGTCAGATCAACCTTCAGCCCCGGGTATCCATGCCGGATACCTCCCCCACTCTGAGGTGGACGGGGAAGGTTGGCGATGCGTCTGCGTTCCGTGTCTGGGGATCTCGGGCTTTTGTCCGAGACTTGTCTACGGACAAGCTGTCCTCCCGTGCTGTTCCCTGCGTCTTCCTTGGCTTCCCCCCTGACGCGCCTGGTTGGCAGTTTTACCACCCCACCTCGCGCCGTGTTCTGTCCTCCCAGGACGTCACGTTTGACGAGTCGGTTCCGTACTACCGTCTCTTCCCCTACCGCGCTGCCCCCCTTCCCCCCCCGCCGCTCTTCCTTACGCCAGGTCCCCCCCCGGTAGACCCCCTCCCCCCTCAGGGTCCTGCTCCTTCAGGTGTGTCTCAGGTAGACCCCCCCCCCTTGGCTGAGCCTTTGGAGGTCACTTCCGACACCTCTGGCCCACCTGAGGGGGGTGACGCTGCTGCTGACGCCCCGGCGGCCTACCGCCGTGCACCACGCTTGGAGACCCCTCCAGGGTTCCCTCCGCGACCTTCTTCGCCGCCTCTGCAGCCGGTTCCTGTTGACTCTGGTGCTGTTGGGGGTGGTGCTCCTGGAGGTGCTGCGTCTGGGGGTGCGGAGTCTGGGGGTGCTGAGCCTGCGCGTGAGGAGACTGGAGGTCCTGCGCCTGGGGGTGCTGTGTCTGGGGGTACTGCGCCTGTGTGTGCTGTGTCTGGGGGTACTGGGACTGCTGGTGCGCGGCCTACTTGGAGTGGCCGCCTTCGTCCACGTGTGCCTCTCACCACTCAGCAGCTGCACGACTGGTACGGTCGCCGTCAGCGTCGTACTGCAGGAGCCCGGGGCTCTGCTGCTAGGGGTACTGGAGCTGCTGGGGCTGGGGGTGCTGCGCCTGGAGGTGCCGTTGCTGGAGACCCTGGGACTGGAGGTGCTGGTTCTGGGGGTGCTACTGCGGGAGACACTGCGGTTGGAGACCCTGGGACTGGAGGTGCTGGTTCTGGGGGTGCTGCTGCGGGAGACGCTGCGGTTGGAGACCCTGGGACCAAAGGTGCTAGTTCTGGGGGTGCTGCTGCGGGAGACACTGCGGTTGGAGACCCTGGGACTGCAGGTGCCGGTTCTGGGGGTGCGGCTGCTGGTGACGCTGGTTCTGGAGCTGCTGGCGCTGGAGGTACCGGTTCTGAGGCTGGAGCTTCTGGAGCTGCTGGAGGCGCTGGAGCTGCTGGAGGTGCTGGAGCTGCTAGCTACCTGAGCTGGTGCAGCTGCGCCGACACGACTGTTCTTCGCTCCGCCGTCTCCGTCGTCGCTGCCGCCGCCTGACTCTGTTCTTCGTCAGGTTCTTACTCTCCCGTCGTCCACTGGTCTTCCGTTACCGCCTGGCTCACCGCTACCTGCTCCTTCTCCTTACACTGAGCAGACAGGTAGTCTTGCTGAGCGTCGTGAGCCTGCGTCGCGTCCTGTCTCGCCTGTTCGTTCTGGTCGTACTGCTCGTCGTGTTTCTCGCTCGCATCAGCCGACTGTCCCCAGTGCACACCTTGTTGTCCGTCGTCCTTCCTCTGTTCCGCTGTCTGTTCCTCTACCGTCTCTCCCTGTGTCCTCCCTGCCTGCCGTTCCGGACCCTGCGTCTGACCGGTTTCGTGCTACACACCCTACTGTCACGCATCTGTTAGCCACTGTTGTCACTGACCCGTCGTTTGAGTCTACTGCTGCGTCTGCCTTGGTCGCTGAGCTTGTTGATTTTGCTGCTGCCTGTCGTCTAGACTACGCCGCCAGTCTTGTTGCTGAGTCTGAGTCTGTCTGTCCTCCGTCCGTCGGGGGTGAGTGTGCTCTTAGCACGGACGTCCTTGAGGACAGGCAGGAGGAGTTCCAGTGTCTTGCTACTGCTTTACCTCATCTTGTGTCCTCACTGCTTGCCCCTGAGGGAGACCCGGATGCACCAGACATCCCGACTCCGCGCTCTTACGCGGAGGCGATAGAGGGTCCCTACTCCTCTCAGTGGCAGGCAGCCATGGATGCAGAGATGGCTTCCTGGAAGTCCACAGGCACCTACGTTGACGAGGTTCCCCCACCTGGGGCGAACATCGTCAGTGACATGTGGATTTTCAGGGTGAAGCGGCCGCCGGGCTCTCCGCCTGTCTTCAAGGCGCGTTACGTGGCTCGAGGCTTCAGTCAGCGGCAGGGAGTTGACTACTTTCAGACCTTCTCTCCCACCCCGAAGATGACCACTCTTCGGGTGCTGCTACACATAGCCGCTCACCGTGACTACGAGCTTCACTCTCTAGACTTCAGCACAGCTTTCCTACAGGGCAGCCTGCACGAGGAGATCTGGCTGCGCCGCCCACCTGACTTCACTGGGTCGTTTCCTCCTGGTACCCAGTGGAGCCTCCGGCGGCCAGTCTACGGTCTCCGCCAGGCGCCGCGTGAGTGGCACGACACACTGAGGACTACGCTTGCGGCTCTTGGGTTTGCTCCTTCTACTGCAGACCCGTCGCTGTTTCTACGCACCGACACCTCTTTGCCGCCGTTCTACATCCTCGTGTACGTCGACGACTTGGTCTTTGCTACAGCTGACACTGCTGGACTCGCCTACGTGAAGTCCGAGCTGCAGAAGCGACACACGTGCACAGACCTGGGTGAACTGCGCAGCTATCTTGGCCTGCAGATCACTCGGGACAGAGCACGGCGCACCATTACCCTGACTCAGTCACACATGGTGCAGCAGATCCTTCAGCGCTTCGACTTCACGTACTCCTCGCCTCAGGCCACTCCTCTGTCTACTCGTCACTCGCTTTCAGCTCTGCCTTCGGATGAGTCCGTAGAGCCGAGTGGCCCATACCCAGAGCTTGTGGGCTGCCTCATGTACCTGATGACCTGCACACGACCTGACCTGGCCTACCCTCTTAGCATACTCGCACGCTATGTTGCTCCTGGGAGACACCGACCAGAGCACATGGCTGCAGCGAAGAGGGTGTTGCGCTACTTGTGCAGTACGTCGGGCATGGGGCTCGTGCTTGGAGGGCGGAGTCGAGTGGTCCTCACGGGTCACGCAGACGCGTCTTGGGTCGACGACCTGGCTACGCAGCGGTCGTCACAGGGTTACACCTTCAGCCTTGGTTCCGGCTCTGTTTCGTGGCGGTCTACTCGCTCGTCTTCTGTTCTCAGCTCTAGTTGTGAGGCTGAGATCTATGCAGGAGCCATGGCTGCACAAGAGTTACGCTGGCTGACCTACCTGCTGACTGACCTGGGAGAGCGACCTCGTTCTCCTCCAGTTCTGTACGTAGACAACAAGGCCATGCTCGCCTTGTGTCAGGAGCACAGACTGGAGCACAGAACGAAGCACATCGCTCTTCGCTACTTCCTTGCTCGTGAGCTGCAGCAGCGTGGTCAGCTGCGCCTTGCTTACGTGGCCACTCGGGCCAACACTGCTGATATCTTCACCAAGGCTCTTCCGCCTTGCGATCATCAGCGCTTTTGTACTATGCTAGGTCTTGTGCCTACTTGGCCTCACTTGCTCACTTCTTGACCTTGCTTGTACTGTGTCTTATATATACCTGCTCTTGTTTGTTTACCTCTATATATCATCCTGCATGTGAACCGGCCTTGAGGCCTTGAACCTTTGCTCAGAATGTGTGGTGACGTTGTGATCCACCCCGAGCTTTGCTTTGGCTTGCTTTGCTTGACTGGTCTTGTGACCCCTTGTGCTGGCTATCCCCCACTTCGCCTATGGGGGTGTGTCAAATTATATGTGTAACATTTATGTAGGCTATAGTACTGGGTCTAGCCTTAGGGGGTACACATACTTTCTCGACACCCTCTTGTACCACCCTTCCTTGACCTAATGACCATTCCCTTAATCTCAACACCGACGACCCTACGCCTTTAGGCACCGCCCCTGACGACGCAGCCAGGGACCGCTTTACCCGCCAGCGTGCTGATCTAACGGCGTGGAAGTCGCGTGACGCTGCGGCCTGCATCGCTCTTAGCAGCCTCCTCCCTGAGTCTGAGGAGGCCCACTTCACTCAGGTTCGCACTGCTAGTGAGTTCCTGACTGCGATTAAGGCCCGCTACGCTACTCCCACCACTGTCTCTCTTGGCCGACTCTTCCTACCGTTCTTGTTCCCTGACCTCGCCTCGTTTGAGCGCTCTGCTGACTTGATTGCTCACCTCCGCTCGCTTGATGCACTGCTTCCTCCCCCCATGGCGATTACTATCTATTTCATCGCCACTAGCCTCCCTGACCGCCTTGCCTCGGTTCGTGACACGCTTCTTCTGAAGCACCCTAGTGAGCTCACTATCGAGGTCCTTGAGTCTGCGCTCAAGGACGTCGAGAGCAACCTCCGCTCCGTAGCCTCCGCCTCTGGTGCTGTGCCCCCTCCACTGTTCCACGGGTGCACTGTCCCTCAGCTGCCCACCTTTACTGCCTCTCTCGCCACTGCTGCTACTGACGTGACCGCAGCTGCTGTTACGACTTCTTCGCGGTCTCGAGGTAGAGGTGGCAAGAGGGGCGATCAGGGTACAGGCGGCGGCGGCGGCGGTGGAGGCGTTGGCGGCGGAGGTGGCGGGGGTGTCGTGCCGACTGGTGGCGGCGGGAGCGCAGGGCCTGGAGAGGCGTCTCGTGCAGCGGCCGGTGACTCCCCTGCTGCATCTGGTGGAGGCGACACCTAGGCTCGTCAACCACCTTCTGGTCTGCCAGCCGCGGTGGGTGGAGCAGCGGCGTGGTACCTGGCCCAGCGGCAGCAGCAGCCCCTCCCCTCGCAGCAGCCCCCGCAGCAGCAACGGCAGCCCCCGCAGCAGCAGCGGCAGCAGCAGGTTTCGGGGCCAGGACAGCGTCAGCCCCAGCGAGGTATTGTTCACCCTTCATGCACCTATCAGCTTTTGACAGGTGCTCGCCGAGGCCAGCCTTGTGGCCGCACCCACCCTCCTGGTCAGTGCTTTGCTCAGCTCACTAACACAGCTCGCTTGGCCTTCGGCGTTGGCGGCCCTGCCCCTCACTGGTTTCCTCTTATTCAGACGTACGGCTCCGCTCTTTGGGGCATGCCAGCTTATCAGTTGGTTGATCTCTTAGGAACTCCACATGCTACTCTAGTGCTTCTGACTTTGTTTACTCGAGTGTTGTTAGCTTAGGTGCTAGTCTTGCTGAGTTGCCTGTTGCTAGTGTAGGCACTTGTGTAGACACTAGTCCAGGAGCTGCTTCGGAGGACGCTTCGCTGTCTTTCACTTTGGACTCTGGGGCTTCGCACTGCTTCTTCCGGGACCACAAGACACTTACTTCGCTTCCTACGCCGGTCTCTGTGGCACTGGCTGATCCCACCTCGGGACCAGTCACTGCTCGCTACACTACTACTCTTCCGTGCCCTGCTGTTCCCTCTGGGTCTCTGACTGGCTTCCACGTCCCCTCGTTCTCGAGGAACTTGGTGGGCGTGAGGCCTCTTGTGAGTCAGCACGTGGGTGTGTGGATTGAGCCCTCTGGTGAGACGGCTGTTTCTGTTGACGGAGACACTTACACACCTCTTGCCACCTTTACCGCTGAGCCGGGCTCTGGTCTCTACACACTTCACAGTGGCTCTGGTGGGCAGCAGCAGCAGCAGCAGCAGTAGTAGCAGCAGCGACTACTGCCCCCGGCCGCTGTTCCTTCCCCCAGTCTTGTCCCTGCGTCTCACCAGGTTGCTGCGTCCCCCCAGGTAGCTGTGTCTAGTCAGGTTCCTGTGTCTGGTCCAGTTGCTGCGTCGTGCTCCTGCCGGTCGCTTGCCCACCCCACCGTTCTGTGGCACTACCGGATGGGGCACCCGTCTATTCCTCGTCTGCGCACTATGTCTCGTCAGCGTCTTGTCTTAGGCATCCCACGTGTCTTCCCGTCACTGCCGCCTTCGCTTGCACCACCGTGCGGTCCCTGCATCAAGGGTAGGCTGCGCGCCACCCCTCACTCCTCCTCCCTTCGTCCAGCCACCGAGCCTTTTGAGACGCTCCACTTGGACGTCTGGGGCCCCGCCTCTCGCCTTGGCCCTGAGCATGAGCATTTCTTTCTGGTGGTCGTTGACGACTACTCCCGCTACACCACAGTGTTCCCCCTTCCGAAGAAGTCTGAGGTGACTTCTATGCTAATCAGGTGGTTGCTTACCACAGAGGACACTCGTGGTCGTCGAGTCAGCTGTTTTCACTACGACCGCGGGGGTGAGTTTCGCTCCGGCATTCTCGCTGGATTCTGTCGCGAGCAGGGCATTCGTCAGTCCTGGACGCTTCCAGAGTCCCCACAACAGAATGGGGTTGCTGAGCGCCGCATAGGCTTGGTCATGGAGATCGCCCGCACCTCCTTGACTCAC